GTCATGTTTGCATTGAAAATGGTCTTCTGGTCCTTTCTCAGCATCTGCTCAGTGGTCAGGCCTAGAAAATAGATGTGAGAGTAGGAGTCAAAAAAGAGAGCCCAGAGCCTTCCCAAGGCTAGGAAGAGGAAGGTGGGTGCTCAGTGGTCAGGCCTAGAAAATAGATGTGAGACTAGGAGTCAAAAAAGAGAGCCCAGGGTCCCAAGGCTAGGAAGAGGAAGACACCGCATATTAGGCATTTATTATATAGGATGATGAGAGGGAATCATTGATTGGCTGCCTCCTGCACACCCCCTACTGGGGACTAAGCCCACAAGCTGGGCATGTGCCTTAACTGGAATCGAACCCAGGACCCTTCCTCAGGCTGACACACTGTCCACTGAGCCAAACCGGCCAGGGCTATTTATTTTTTTAATCAGGAGGTAGCTGGGTGGAAAATTATGTTTTTTTTGTTCTCTTTCTTTGTCCTTGGTATAGTCACCCTGTTTCTTCTGCTTCCCTAACCAATTATCTAGATCTCAGTCTGATAACTTAGTATTCCCTCAGCATATTTTATTTATAAGTCTATATTCTCTGATTAGAGTGAAAATCTCTGAGACTTTAGTATATTCTTCCTATCTTCCCTAATAGCCCAAACAGAACAATCCAGTAAACGACTAATTAGTTCCTGATCAGACGCACACACTACCTCATTTATCTCCAAAGCTTAAGCATTACCCAAGCTCTGAAATTGTTTTGATGGTGTTTTCTCCTGTAGGAAGGAGAGAAGTCAGTTTAACACTTCATACCTGACACATCAAACTTTGCCTTTTGCAGAGAATCAAAGATGTCATTTCTCTTGGGCAGATCTGTGAAGAGGGCCTCCAGCTTCTCCACATATTTCTTGTCCTTTGGGGTTGCTTTTCCAATTTTAAGGTCCATGTTGACACAGTCCAGGATGATTGTTGCTGTGGAAAAGGAAGATGACAGAATTCAAACTTTGTGGCCCTCCATTTATGACCATGGAAACACACATAACCCTCCAAATAGTCCCAATACAGAGGATACTGTATGCAAACTCACTGAAAATAAAACAAGAAAATGGGGTTATGCCCTAAGACCTCCCAAATCGAAACTAAAATGCAGGCAGGGAAATGGGGAAACAGTAGAAAGAAAACCCAGCATCTCAATCCTTGGAGATTGTGAGACCTAGTAAGAGAAAGATGACTTCTCTTCAGGAGGCCAAATTCTAGTAAAGAATCTTGTTTTGTTTTGTTGTTAATCCTCACCTGAGAATATTTTCTCCATTGATTTTCAGAGAGAGTGGAAGGGATGGAGGTGGAAGAGAGAGAGCAAAACATTGACATGAGAGAGACACATTGATTGGTTGCCTCCCGCACATGCCCTAAAGAGGCCAGGGAATGAACCTGCAACCCAGGCACATGCCCTCGACTGGGAATCAAACCCGAGACTCGCTGGTCCATGGGCCAACGCTCTACCACTGAGTCACACCAGCCAGGGACCAGTGAAGACAGTCTAATCCAATTCTCTCTCTTTTTTTCCTCTTTCTCTTTTTTACAAATGGAGAAAAAGAGAACAAGAAAGGTTAAGAGATTTGCTCAAGGTCACATAACTACTTCCTGAGCAGAAATGGTACTGGAATCGTTTCCTGCTTCTTTGGCTACCTCTTTTCTTTCTCTTTCTTTTTTCTTTTTTTTAAATGGTGTCTGAGTGTCCTACACCATTTGGGTAAACTTTCCCCTCATGGTTACACATATAATGGGCTGCATTTATTTATTTTTTATTCATTTTTTACAGCGAGGAAGGGAGCGGGATAGAGAGCTAGAAACATCGATGAGAGAGAAACATCGATCAGCTGCCTCCTGCACACTTCCTACTGGGGATGTGCCCGCAACCAAGGTACATGCCCTTGCCTGGAATCGAATCTGGGACCCTTGAGTCCGCAGGCCGAAGCTCTGTCCCCTGAGCCAAACCGGTTAGGGCTGGCTACCGCTTTTCATTACATAGTGCTGCTGAGGCAGCTTCTAGGTCCGTTGCCCCTGCTTCCCTTCTGCATTCTCCAACAAAGTATCCCACAGCCTTTTAATACCTAACTGCCCCCCTGAAAGAATCCCAGCCTTCAGTATGGGCTGACTGGCTCTGAGAGGGTATGGTCAAGCTGGAAGAATCTAGACTTTTCAGCTGTCCCTTCTCTGGGACAGGAATGGAGGAACTACCGAGTCAGGCCCCAACCAAGCCATCCTCACCATGCAGAAGGGCTGCAGTTTGCCTGTCCAAGATCTCTGGTGCCCCCTGCAGGATTCTCTCGGTCACCAGGGTAGCGCAGGACCCCACCAGCTCAACTGAAACATGGCAGGGAGGGCAGCGCTTCTGCTCGATGGGCCGATGGTCTAGCACCTCTGCCACCGCCTCCTCTAGGGCTGCGTCACTTCTGTGTGGGGAAAGGCGGTGTGGGGAAAAGAGAAACAAAGGTAGGTAGGAGCACTCCAGCTGCTTCTAACCAATCTCCACCTCACTCAGGAAGGAAAATGCAGGCGTCTTAGGTAAACACTTAGACCTCTGGTCACTTCTACCTCTGCCCCACTCCTTTCAATTCTTTTCTTTAATGTTATAACTGAAGTTATCGTCAAATAGTATATGTGTGATTTTGGCAAAGTGTCTGCTACTAATACCTTATCCACATATTTGAAGTCCTTTAGGGGTGCCTTTCCAATTGACACCCTTGATACCCAACATCTAAATTGCTCCTATTCCGTCAGTTCACTTAATACCCAAATTCCATGCATGTCACCAGATCCTGTGGCTTCTATCTCAATTTCTATTTATTTCCTCCTTTTTAACCCTCTGCTACTGCCTTATTCTAGACCAGGGGTGGGCAAACTTTTTGACTCGAGGGCCACAATGGGTTCTTAAACTTGGACCGGAGGGCCGGAACAAAAGCATGGATGGAGGGTTTGTGTGAACTAATATAAATTCAAAGTAAACATCATTACATAAAAGGGTCCGGTCTTAAACAAAGTCTGACCTCTTTGGCAGGGTCTCCATGATCTGGCCTGTCTACCTCTCGAGTCTTATCTTTTTCCATGTCTTATTTCTCACTCATATTTTATGCTTCAGCCATGCAAAACAAATTCCGGTTCCCCCAACTCACCATGCTATTTCATGCCTGCCTGCCTTTGCTTGAATTAATCACTCTCTCTGGCTGGATGCTTTCCTCACTACCTTACCTCCCCATTCCCTGAGTAAATAGCTAGTCCTCTTTCAAGACTGAGATCAAGGGTTAACTCTGTTAGGAAACCTTTCCTGACACCCTCTACTGCCCCCTGGTATATTTAACCACTACATCCTTCCTCACCTGCTGTCCCCCAGAGTGATGGTTGTCCCCTACCTCTAAGCCCCTTACAGCTCCCTCTTTCTGACTGAAAGCTTCTTGAAAACAGGGACTCTTTCTCACCTTCATCATCTAAACAGACATTTATTAATGAGTGAATGGACAGCTACCCTCTGTCAATGTCCTGCTATAACCAGTGTGCTCAAGGAAAAAACATACATTTTAATACTAGCAGGAGCCAGATAGACTTACTTATGTTGCTTTGTTGGCAGTTTTTTCCAGTCTTCAATTAGGGATGGAATTATTATAGGTGTGTACCTTTATTAAAGACACTAATAAGATATTGTCTTATGTAGAAAATAATTTTGCTAACTTTTTAAAAATTAAAAAGAGTTGGAAGCATTATTCAAAAGTTTCTATTATAATAAATCTGCCACGAAATCTTAAAATATAATAATACCAAAGGCAGACTTAAATGATTTCTGAGTTATCTTTTAATTTGAACTCTCCAAGTTTCTACTGGCAAACTGGAGAAGCGATAATATTTTCTATATCCAATATGACCCATCAATTACCATTAGCACGTGAGATTCCCAAGAGCAAAAATTCTTCCTCTCTTTAGATCTTACTCATCAGAGCCCAACATGGCACATGATTGAGTATCAGCTTAACGTCCTTCCACATACCTGGGTAAGACATGGTGGTCAACAAGGATTAGGGTGAGCTGGCCAGCCTGGTGCAACGTGTGGAGGTCAATCTCATCCCGGAAAATTAAGAGGGATTCTGGAATGTGAATCTCCTGAAGGAGGAAGACGTTGTCACCTCGCAGAGGTAGCTCAGAACGTTTTATATTTAAAACTGGAACAAAGACATCCTCAGTCTCACTCGTCTGGAGAGGAAAGTGAAAAGAAGGTATGGCAGTGTTTTGGAACAGGCAGGAAAAGTAACAAGACAAGTGGGACCAAGGAAGACATGATTTTGGATGAGTTACTGCTCTTCTCAAAGCCACAATTACCAAGTCAATAAGAATAAAAGGACAGCCCTAGCCGGCTTGGCTCAGTGGATAGAGTGTCGGCCTGCGGACTGAAAGGTCCCACGTTCGATTCCGGCCGAGGGCACATGCCTGGGTTGCGGGCTTGTTCCCCAGTGGGGGGTGTGCAGGAGGCAGCCGATCAATGATTCTCTCTCATCGTTGATGTTTCTATCTCTCTCTCCTTCTCCCTTCCTCTCTGAAATCAATAAAGAAATATATTTAAAAAAAAAAAAAAGAATAAAAGGAAAACCCTTGCCCTTTCTCATTCTTAGCAACAACATGAAGGTCAACAAGAAAACTCATGCCCTGGCCGGTTTGGCTCAGTGGATGGAGTGTCAGCCTGCAAACTGGGGGGGGTCCCAGGTTCGATTCTGGTCAAGGGCACATGCCCAAGTTGTGGGCTCGATCCCCAGTGGGAGGCTTGCGGGAGGCAGCTGATCAATGATTCTCTCTCATCATGGAAATTTCTCTCTCTCTCTCTCCCTCTTCCTTCCTCTCTGAAATCAATAAAAATATATTTAAAAGAAAATTCATGAAAAAGAGCTAGTTCTAGAGATGCTGCAGAGAAGGCATTATCAGTCTTCAAGAGCTGACGTGGACATGAGGCATACACATCAGAGTATGGATACCCACAAGTTACTCAAGTAATAAACTCTTTGAATATTGCTTTATGGTTTACACATTCTTATTTTTGAAACTTTATGAGTTCATTTGAGCCAAACTGATGATAACTGCCAGGAAGCAAGATCTCAAATGCTCCCTGTTTATACATTCTTCAAAATACGTTTACTCATTTGATCCTCACAGCAACACTGTAAATTATTTCAGACTTTAGACTCGGAAAAGTTAAGGGATTTAACTTACCCAAGACTAGATGGTGTTAAGCAGCAGAGCTGAATCTTGAATCCAAATCTTTTCATTCTAAGAGATTCTGTTCCTAAGTACTCACCTTTGCCAGGTAAAAAGCCAAGGCGAGAGCGGACACCATGGAGTCCAAGTCACAGGCTTCATTTCCCAGCACGACATGCAGTGGCTGGGACTCCTGGAAGGAGAACGGGAAACTAGCAGAAGCATCTACGCACTTGCCTTTGCCTGGCACTCACGTAGGGCTTCACACGCATCCTCTCACTGATCCCACCGAGGAGGTGAGCAGGTGGATCTTACGGGTCCTCATTTCATGGATGAGGACACTGGCTCAGAGGGCATCTGTGTTTTGACAAAGCTTTGAGCATTCCACACAGATCCAGTTAGTGGGAAAGTGCTCTTTTCTGTCCGCTACACTGTCTCCTTGACTGTTGATTTACAAAAAGCCAGCAGTAAATAATTCTGATTTCTGATGTTGCTTTGGGCACTTGAGAAGTCACAGGTAAGCTGATGTACGAGTATTCAAGCCATGGTTTATTTTTCTCCCATTTTCAAAACAGGGAAAAGAATCCTTAATACTTCAAAAAATAAGAACTAGTCCATTATCTCGTTGTCCATAAAAGCTTCCCCAAGGGCCGAAACCGGTTTGGCTCAGTGGATAGAGCGTCGGCTTGTGGACTGAAAGGTCCCAGGTTCGATTCCGGTCAAGGGCATGGACCTGGGTTGTGGGCACATCCCCAGTAGGAGATGTACAGGAGGCAGTTGATCGATGTTTCTCTCTCATCGATGTTTCTAACTCTCTATCTCTCTCTCTTCCTCTCTGTAAAAAATCAATAAAATATATTTAAAAAAAAAAAAAAAGCTTCCCCAAGGAACCTCCATGACAACCAGATATAACCAACACCTCAACCAGAGAAACAGGCCCCTTTCCCAGCAGGGTTAGCTTAAAGCAAGCACAGTTGTTGCTCCTGGAACTTTTTTTAAAAATATATTTTATTGATTTTTTACAGAGAAGGGAGAGGGATTGAGAGTCAGAAACATCGATGGGAGAGAGACATCAATCAGCTGCCCCCTGCACACTCCCCACTGGGGATGTGCCCGCAACCAAGGTACATGCCCCGACCGGAATCAAACCTGGGACCTTTCAGTCCGCAGGCCGACGCTCTATCCACTGAGCCAAACTGGTTAGGGGTTGCTGCTGGAACTTTTACTTTACACTTTGAAAAGTCCAGCTGCTGATAAGAATGGGGTAGGGCCCTAACTGGTTTGGCTCAGTGGATAGAGCATTGGCCTGCAGACTGAAGGGTCCCAGGTTCATTCCGGTCAAGGGCATGTACCTTGGTTGCGGGCACATCTCCAGTGGGGGGTGTGCAGGAGGCAGCTGATGGATGTTTCTCTCTCATTGATGTTTCTAGCTCTCTATACCTCTCCCTTCCTCTCTGTAAAAAATCAATAAAAATATATTTTTAAAAAATGGGGTAGGGAGGGTTATTATTAACCTTGTTCCCCTGATTCTCCCTAGCTATCAGAGTTTTAAAGAAAATACATTACAATCTACAGTGCCCACAACAGCAGAGACTAGGGTTTGGTTTAGTTCTGAGACATTTAGAGTGTGCCATGTACTATTCTATAGCTTAATGTGCACAAACTAAAATTTAATCCTCAAAACAACCTGAAGAGGTAGGTATTTTAAGAGTGATGATTTCGGCCGAAACCGGTTTGGCTCAGTGGATAGAGCGTCGGCCTGCGGACTGAAAGGTCCCAGGTTTGATTCCGGTCGGGGCATGTACCTTGGTTGCGGGCACATCCCCAGTGGGGGATGTGCAAGAGGCAGCTGATCGATGTTTCTCTCTCATCGATGTTTCTGACTCTCTATCTCTCTCCCTTCCTCTCTGTAAAAAAATCAATAAAATATATTAAAAAAAAAAAAAAAAGAGTGATGATTTCATTATAGGTGTGAGCATTCAGCCAGATGAAATGAGACCTTAAAGTCTATGGCTCAGCTTAGGGCACAAGAATTCTCTCTTACTAATTTGCTTTTGAACTTCTCTCTCAACCTGCTTCTGAGGGACGAAGGGATAAGAGAACAAATGAGAAACACTAGTTATGGCGGAGTTTCTTAATTTCAGCTCTATCGGCATTTTGCACAGGTAATTCTTTGTTGTGGGGGCTATTCTGTGCCTTGTAGGATGTTTGGCAGCATCTCTGGATTCTACCCACTAGATGCCTATAGCACCCCCAGTCATGACAATCAAAAATGTCTCCAGACTTGCCAAATATTCTCTAGGAGCAAAATCACTCCTGGGAACCCGGCTGGCGTGGCTCAGTAATTGAGCATCGACCTATGATGTTGGGGCACATGCCGGGGTTGTGGGCTCAATCCCCAGTGTGGGGTGTGCAGGAGGCAGCCAATCAATGATTCTCTCCCATCATTGATGTTTGTCTCTCTCTCTCCCTCTCTGAAATAAATAAAAAAATATATTTTAAAAAAATTAGTCCCAGGTAAGAACTATTGGGTTATAGAAAGGTACAGTTCCAAACATTCTGGCTGCTTCTATCAGGGAAGATTTGCTAGATGGGAGTTTAGAACAGTAGGACAGGAGTTCAGAGGAGCAAAACATAACAAGGAGCAGTTATCAAGTAATTAATTTTAGGGGAAAAAGAATCTAGAATCATCTTCCCTGTATTGGCTATTCCGCCCCCCCCCCCACACACACACACCTCCACACCATTCTCCCAGAAAGAGACAATTTTAGAAGACTTCTGGTGGTATAAATTGCTTGATCTCATAACTAAGTTCTTGTTTTTAAACTACCCTCTTTCCCACCTCCTATTCCCAGTCCTAGAGAGAAGTACAAAAGGCAGGGGTCATCTGTCAAGATCTTGGGCAAAGGGTCTCTGGGGAAAGTTTGCCCTGAGATTCTCCCTGCACCCATTTATTTAAGCCTAATTCACCAGGGTGGCAGCCAAGACCCATTCATGCTAAGCAGTGGCAGATT